TTCTTTGGGTGCCCATTTTAGCAGGTAAAGCCATTTAATTGGCGACTGAACTAACTATCTGGCACATACGGATACAAAATGAGATCATTCTGAACTGTTCCAATAAAAGACTGTAAAGAGTCTCTGAAGCAGCTTATCGTGCCTTTGATGTACAGAAATCAACAGAAGTGCACATAACAATGGAAGGACATACATTCGTTTTAATCACAAACTTTCAGATTTGCAGTTCAATTCACTGTTCAAACTTGTAAAGCAAGAAATGTGTTGCCAAAAACAGACATGTCAGAAAGTCTATATAAACAAAACTGAAGCACAAACATATACAAGGATGTACAACTAAGCAAAATATTATTACATTTCTAAGCATAAATCACCACCGAAGAGAAAGAACTAAGAAAATAAAACATGAACAAAAATATGATTGAAATACAACAACAAAAAACAATACAAAAAATACAAAACCATTACAGGAAATAGCACAGATCAAGTTCCTCATTCAGCTCATTGAGCCCATCTGGAGCTGCAGACTCAGATCAAAAATCCATTTAGCTTCTGCCTGCAGCAGAAGTTGGTTGTGGTCCTCACCCCTAGTGGGATACTTGATTGACTGTGTAGCCCAGAATTTTAATTCTGTCAGCAAGTGTCACGAAACAGTAAGAAGAGATTTCCTATTGAGGCTTTGTGTGTAGCACGGTATACTCTCAAGATGTTAGGCACATGCTGTAGTATGTAACACCCAGCCCACTTTAAAACATTTTAAAGATTCATGACTTCAATTAAGCATTACTAGAATTTGTCCTATTTTCCTGGCACAGACACAGCCACCCACAGGGCTTCACAGAAACACAAATTTCTCTATGGTCCTTCTGTTTTGTCTCGTACACTTGTCAATAAAAACAAAAGACCAGACCAGGCCGGACTGATTTCCCCTGCCTGTTTGGAAGGAACATACACATAGATCCACACACACACAATAGCCCTGACTCTGGGCTGGTCTAACAAAGAGTCCAGCAGCAACAAGCAAATGCCAGAAAATAGCTTTCACTTGTTGTTTCTCAGTATCTAGAGATCTGTTCTCTGGAAGGGCCTCTCTCTGGCTGTCAAAACGCAGACACGCAGCACAAACAGAAATATGCTCGCACATATACAGACTGATTTTCAGTGAAACAAAAAAGAGAGAGAATAGACAGAAAGGACAGATGCTCATTCAGGAAATGAAAACATGCAGCTAGGGAAAATAAGTAAGCGGGTGAGGAGTAGCAATGAGGGGGAGCTTTTGAGCAGTTAGATAATGGGCGTGTGGAGAATTTTGCCAGGGTCTGTTTATGAGAGCGAGCATGCCGACGTGGATGTCTATCTCGTATACAAGCGAAGTGTGTTTGTGTATGTCAGACAGAGCAGACCACAGGGGTATTTTTTTGACCAGCTGTAGGAAAGTGATTGGCTTGTTCTTTCTTGAATGACAGCCCCTGTGCTCCAAATGGTCAGCACAGAGACTGGCTGGTTCTCAGCTTCCCTCATTATTTTCTTTTCCAAGTCAAGATTTCTTTCATTGCTTTTCTCCCACTGATCTCGTGGACTGCTGAAATCATGCGTGTGTCCTTTACTAACTTACACTGTTCTAAACATTCCAAAATATGATGCACATCCTCACAGAACTACATAAAATAGCATAAATATTTTTCTCAAGTATCAAGTAAACCAACTAATCTAACATTAACTGTACATATCACTGACATACTGTACATAGTAGGCAGAATCATGCAGAAGTATATGCAACTCTGCACGCATGCACATAGCAGCTAGTGAGTAAACTCTGAAATTTGCTTCAGGCACTTTGTGGCCTTTGTTGCCGTAAATTACCTCAGTTCTTGATTAAACAAAACGTCAAAGTGTCTAAGCTCTAAAGTTGCTTATAAAACACGCACACGTGCACACACCTCAACATAAACTGTCACACAGGCAGTCACACACATATATTTCCAATTACTCATTGGTTTGCCGCTTAATGATTTGACTTTGGAGTAGAGGGAATTAAATGGTTCACTAGGCAGACTTTTGCAAGGTGTTCAGCATCCACAGCTTTTTCCTCATCTTCATCCTCCTCTTCTCTTCCCTATCCTGCCTTCTGCCCCCCACTCTGCATAGTAATGCCTTTGAATTGAGCTGTTCATTCAGCCAAGCACAGATAAGTGTAGAAAGCGGGATGAACACAATAGGGAAATAGAGGGGGAAAAAAAAAAGAGGATGGGGGGATTGAGCTTTTGGGTGAAGAAAAAAAATGGTTTTGTTCTCTCTCTTTTTCTTTTTTCTTTTTCTTTCTCTGGTATACCTTGACAAGGGCAAGGAGAGGAAGGTGACAGCTGGACAAAAAGGAATTGAAGTCATCTGCATGCAGCCAGAAAAATTGTCAGAAGATTTTTTTCCTCTTTCGTTATTTTATACCCAACGATGAGGCGATCTTAACAGTGACATCAGGTTTTAACATTTCATAATTGCTTAAATGGCAAGGTCGTGCATTGGCAGTCTGTATCTATATGTGTGCATGGATGCTTGTGTGTATTTATGCAGATTGTAGATATAACTGTCATTGTGCTTCATATCAGAAGCCAACACTACAGGCAGTTTGGAAACAGAATACTGAAGGACAAACATGCAATAGAGAGCACAGGAGAAGAAAGCTTGAGAAGATTTAACAGCAAAAGAAAAAGATAAGGGTTAGAGGGGAAGAAGCTATTGTAGAATTGCACAAACAGCTCCAAAGAGTAACGTTAGCCCAGGTGAATAAAGGAATATCTCAGTTATGGAGACATTTCAGACTTCCAGTGTTTTGATGATGCGGTATGCAACTATGAAATGAGCTCAGCGCACATTGTTTGAAGTCATAACAGGCTCCCCGAGTGCTCAAAGTTACCAGTGCTGTGCTGACTCAAAAACCTCCTCTGGTATTAACATCAGCACAAAAACTATGTGACAGGAGCTTCGTGTCATGGGTTTTCATGACCTAGCAGCTACTGTCCATGTAATCTGTAGGTACTCCAGTCCTTTTTTTTCTATAGTGTGGAAGCTACTTTAAAAAGTACCGATATAAGCAGCAATTACACCTGGCAACTTCCACTTAATTGCTATGATTTAAAAGAAGAGAAAAAATGCTGTTTCCAGTCAACTCGCTTTAAAAAGCAAATTTAATGTAACTTTAAGGTTTGCATTGCTGAATCATCAGTTACCAGTCGTTGCACAAGTTAAACAGTATTGTCTTTCACATGATCAGAGTGGCTGCTTGATCTGTTGCCTAGCCACTGATGGATGTGTCCAAACTTCCTGCAGAACCACGACAATTTGTGGATTTGTGAGATTTTATGTCTTTGGGTGTAAAAGCCATAACTCTAGCTATGTCATGGTCAGGAGCATAACTATTAATGTGCTTGCTGTTTTTATTTATTTATTTACTTACTTATTTATTGGTGACATACATACAATACTACGCTGCAACCTTCTCTTTCAAAAGGCATACTTTATTCATTCCATAAACCTTTATGGAATAAATAAAGATTAAATATGAAACTGAGAGGAATTCATTGATAAAAGAAGCACTGTCCACTCCTTCACAACAGTGGAAGTTCAGTAGCTCTGAGCTAAGTGTGAACTCTTGACCATTTCCTCCTTTTGCAGATAGCATATCTTCAGGGGTACATTCTTGGGTCACTGAAGAGTCAGCTGAAAGCAGGCTGTCTGTGCAAGTTATTTTTTTCCCATACACTCATGCTCTGCTCTGCCCACTCCATGTCTTATCTGAAATAACACATGGCTGTCTAGTGTCTTGCTCTCTTCTAGTTACCTGCTAGGCTATTAATGAGGCTTCTCCCCAGTGGTGTGTGCAAACTGTTCTGTGCATGTGTGTGTCGAAAGTAATGCATGGGGGAACGGGGTTGTGTTGTGTGTTTATTTCAGAGAGCAGAGCAGAATGCACAGAAGTGAAAATAGTTCAGGGACTGTGGTGAGGTGGATTAGTGGGCGGTTAGAGGTTCTCCCCGTCATGTATCAGGTCAAGTGAAGGAAGAGAAACTAAGTAGGAGGAAAGAAAACAAGAATGATGTAGTGAGAAGAGGAGATCATTTTAACGAGTGCCTCTTTTACTCATCCAGTGGGATTCTATAGTATTTGGTGAAGTGAATGCCATCCTTGTCTCATTTCTCTTTTCCATGTAAATACAATTTATTTTTTTTAGTGTGTGGTAAAGACTCCAGTCAGTCACATTTAAGTCAAAACAGCAAAGGGGGAATGCACTGTCAGGAGATGTACTTCAGTAGCCTGTCATTGAAATTTGACATCAAATAATTATGCTTACAGCAAAACATTGGAGAGCAGCTCATGCTGTCAAGCCATGATGTGTACAAAACAACCAGCACATGTTCAGTCATGGAACTGCAGCCACACTGGGGCTGTGCAGAGACACTTAAAATTGAAAGATAAATACGACATTTTAATTAGGCATCACTGCAATCCTAGAAGTGTTAAATAGGCATTATTTGCTTTTCAAGATGCCTTTTTTTTTAATAAGATGAGTTTTTAGACAGTATACCAGCTGTGTGGAACAAAGGGCTAATATAGCAAAGAACTGTAAACCTCATCAGTTACAAGCCTCTATTACTTGTTGGGACACATAAATCAGTCTAGATATGAATTGATGTGAGCAGGGAGTTTCTTAATGCATACGCAGCTTAATACAATATGCAATTTACTCCTAACATTCCCTACGGTTAGACTGTCCTATGGTGGGCATATTAGATATGTAGACTCATAATTATTTTGTATGTTTTGTGAGTGAGCACCTTCAGGGTAGGATGTGGTGAGTGGAACAAATACTCTTGTTCTGAAGTCCTGAAGCTGCTTGTTTGTCTTCAGGCTTGTGGCTTTGATGTATTTAATTTGTGTGTGTTGTGTGTGTGTGTTTGTGTTTCTCTCTATGTCTGTGTGTATATGAATGATTATGTTCATAGGCTTTCTCTGGGAACTCCAACTCAGAGAGTGCAGTTCGCCATGAGCTCCAGCAGGGAATCGTGGCTCGCTTCCTTAGGCTCATCCCGTTAGAATGGAGCGAGGAGGGACGGATTGGTCTGCGAATAGAAGTTTACGGATGCTCCTACTGTGAGTGGAGATAAACACACACACACACACACACACACATGCACACACAAAGACACACACAAACAGGTTTGGAGAACACCTGCAATGTCTCTTTTATATTTCTCTTACACACACGGCTAATCTAACACCTGTAACACCTTGAATCTTCACACATTATTAGACAGAACAATAATCAAAGGTGGAGGCATTCATTTGCATATTAATTGCTTTACAGTCACTTGGTTGGTCTGGAATCACAACACTCAGATACAACAGCCGTTTAAAGAAACCAGATAGATTCCACTCCTAAGTAAATATACTCCTAGTAGCCTCACAGGCTTTAAACATGTGCAGCCTAGCACTTAGCATTTCAAATTGTGGATCCATGTGGAGAACTTAATGATGGTTTGTCAGCTCCAATCAAGGCACAATGGAGCTATTTCTGCATGTGAATTAAACACAATCCCAGCATGAAAGCCTGCCACGATACATACATGCACAAATAAAATCAATTTGCAGCAATATGCAGAGCACGGCTGCAAACTCGCAAACATGTACAGATACACAAACACTCATACACTGTCTCTCGCTTTCTAACAAATGCATCATCCAGGGAACTGGCTCTCTTGCAGCCTCTTTGCCCTCATCCTATTAAAGGCTGCCAAATTGATTCTGATAACAATTTTCAATTAAGGCTCTGCATAAATTACGGTTATAAGTGACACGCATACATCTTTCATTCGGGAGATGTGATTGCACTATGCGTGGATATGTTTGTGAGGGAGGGGGTGTGCGCGTGTGCGTTTGTGTGCGTGAATGCAAGGGCATGCGTTGTATTCCAGTCAGTCCTCGGTTCATTGATTATATTTTCCTTGTTTCATTTCCTTCCCATGTCAAAAGAAAAGCATGACAGTAATGATAAGGCCCACGAGATGTGCTGCACATACACTTAACACATACAGATGCACACATGCGTGCATAGGCACTCCTAGCATGAGCAACACAGCCATTCAGTTCATTTCAAGCTTATACACATTACTTCTCCCCACACATTTATAATCACACTTAGCTCATTTTGTTGGTATTGTCATTTCACTTTTCTCACACATCAATGGTGTCAGTGATCCTAACATGGAATTGCTGGGGCCTTGTTTTTACCTAAGACGATAAGAGATAATGTATTTTGAACAGATTTGGTGAAAGAGCTAGCTTTAAAACATAATAGAATTGGAACAATATCTGGATGCAGTTTTCCCAATTTGGAAAAAGTCATAGTATTCCAGTAACACTCAGCAAGATATATTTCTCAAATTTAGCAAAAGAAATGTAGGAACAATCAATAACTTACATAACATTGGGCATGCTGTCAAGCACCAGTGGTTCTGGAGTATTTGAGCAGGATGTGAAACATACCTTATGCAGCCTATACCCGCAAGCACTTTGAGAAAGAGGTTACCACTTTACTTTAGACAGCAGAAAAAGTTAAATTGGGCTTGATCCAAACTCACTGTTTCACATTGGCATTGGCAGTTCTCTGTGTGAGGGGCAGAGGCGAATGGTCAGACTGCTTTGAGCTGATAGGAAGGCAGCAGTATCTCAAATAACCAGTCATTACAGACGAGGTATGCAGAATAGCACCCCCAACATGTTGAACCATGAAGCAGACGGCTGCAGCATCAGAGGCCTACACAAAGAGCTACAAATAGGAGCTAAGAATAGGAAACTGATATTACCATTTGCACAGACTTATCAAAACTGGACAACAGGAGACCAACAGGTGGACCATTCAGATAGCAGGGTCAGAATTTAATATAAATAACATGAAAACATGGATCCATCCTGCTTTCTTTCAAGGCTCAGGCTGCTGTTGGTGGCACACTTTAGGGCTCTCGGTGCCAACTGAGTATCATACTTGAGTATCACTGCTGACCATGTCCATCCTTTATGACTACAGTGCACCCATCTTCTGATGCTTGCTTCCAAAGCATATCTCAAAACTCAAATAATCTCAAACTGGTTTCTTAAACATGACAATGAGTGCCTCCAATCTCTCTACCCTTGAAATTTTGAAGTTAAAGGCAGAGACCAGGTGTGAGATCCCTTGCAGTTAGTTGCTGTCTTTCAGCTTTGCTTAATTGAGAAAGCAATAAAATAAAAACAAGAATAAAGCACCAACCTGGAGCTTGGAGTCATTTTTGACTGAACAGCATTGAAGTGCAGCCCAAACCAGACAGGGAAAATTTACAATTTATAAATGTATAAATGAACAAAAACATAGTTACTTCATTTCATTAGCAACCAACTTTAAACCTTGAGCAGCATACTTTTAAGGCTGGAAGCAAGTAACAAAATAATACATAGCGTATTAGCTTTTTTAAAAGGTAGTGCACATGTTTCTCTCTGAAAACAGCATGGCAGCTCAAATACACGAGGGGAGGCTTAAAAATATGTTTATATATTTATGGAATAAGGGAGAACTCTTCTATTAGAAGTTGGACGTGAGGAGAGTTCTTATAACATTTCCTTCTCTCATGTCAAATAAATAAACACTTATAGTGCCAACTACTACGCATGTAGTTGGCATAAATTAAGACACGTTTTTCTGTGTTAAATTTGGTGCAATTTGCAGTAAATTGCCGGCTGAACCTGATTGATTCAGGTTTGTGTGTTTGCATCATTGTTTGGTGAAGCAGAGAATTTGCGCACATCAACACAATCTCTATGCATTTGTAAATAAGATGGAAATTAATTTCAAACCTTTGCCAATATGTTTGAGAGTTAAGGCACTCAATCCAGCCGAGTTGGGCCAAGGAAGGTTGCCTCCCACCAGATGCCTTCAGACCAAAAGCGGTCACCCAAAGACGGGTGCTGATTGGTAAACCTCTGAGGACCAGTTGTTCACAGCAACTACTTGCAATTGATCCCACACAGGGGAAAAAAATCAATGGGGTCACTTCCAAACCACCAGTTTTTCTTGGTCACATATAGACTTTACGGTCTTATTTTTATTTCTAATCTGATTGAGGTTTTCACTAAATAGCACTAAAATAAAAAAGAAGACGAGGAAGGAAAACAAAAAATAAAAAACGAAACAAAAAAAAGAAACCTACTTGCTTGTCTCAAGGCCCAACTAAGCTCAGAGAGTTTGTGTTTCTGACAGATATGAATGTTGTCCACCACTCAGTGACATCTGTTTTGAGATGTATAATAAATGCAAAATAAGGAAGACACATGCTTAAAACTCAAGTATCAGCAGAAACACAGAAAGAGGGAAACACAACTACAACTACACATACACACACACTCCCTCTGGTCAGGTGCATCATCTTTCAGAGTTGTCTGTCATCTTTGTTTTGAAGCCTGCAGTGGTTCCTCATGATTATGCTGTCACTGCTTCTTTCTTCAGCATTCAGTCAGAAAATGAGAACTCATACATTTGTCTGTTCATCTAGCCATCCTTCACTCCCTGACTCTGCAGTTCCCCTAGAATCAGCTTCTTGTAAATGTTTTTCCCGCTTCCCAGCCGGAAGATGAAAGACGGGAGAAGTACAGTGTTGGGCAATGGCAGAGGAAAGAGGATGAAAACAGAAAGCACAAAAGAGAAGTAGTGGGAGGAAAAAGAGGCAGATAAATATAGATGTTATGTTTCCAGCATAATCACCAAATATGTTGGTTGTAGATGATAATTCTGGGTTCTGAAAATGTATGATAATTAAATGCAATGCCATATTATGACTCATCTAGGACTATGCAATAAAAGGCAGTATCTGTATGCATGTGTGTGGATGTGGTTGTGCCAGAGGTGCAAGCTGCAAAGGAGTCATGATTCACCGTGCTGTGGAATTTACATGCTCATTTCCATTTTGATTAACATAGGATCAACAGCAAATCAATTACTTCATAGATGAGTCGGTAAATAGTAGAAGCAATATGTGAGAGAAAGGGGAATCAGACAGAAACAGAGAGTACAAATTTAATTTTCCATACAAATGCAATCTCTTTCACAGCTGACTTCAACCCGTGGCTTTTTTTTTATGCCAAAGACCAAATCTGTTGTCAGTATGATGTATCGCCATCATAATCTGTCAAGGCTAAGAAATGTACTTATGGAGATTTTCTTCTGAATAGTATCTAATTCTAGAGTAAGCATCAGCTTAAACAGCATCATTCTGGCTCTCGGGCTCAATATTACATTAGAGTAAGCATGGGAACCGCATGTATGGTGTTGCAAATAAAACTTGCTTTCATGACAGATAAACAGTCTGAAACAATTATCTTTATTTGACCAAAGGAGAAAGTTACATCTCAAGTATTGTTTTCAAACCAACACAGATATGTGATTTAAAATGTGAATTAGTTTTCAGTGTTATGAAAGGGAAGTCAGTTTGTGTTTACCAGGAGAGAAAATTTCACATAGTCCAGAGTGCCACTAGAAACCATTGTCTCTGGCTCCTCCCAGCAACACCTGAAACAAGTTTCTACTAACTCGAATGGATACATTAGATCAAGAAACATTTTATACTATCAAGGTGAGGCTTGTGGTCCCTAGTTTGATTTATAGTTACTCTGATTCATCACAATAGCTTCACATTTAAAACTATATTTTAATCTGTTAGAATGGGTTAAATGTTTTGCAAAAACAATAAATAGGATAAAAAAAAAATAGTACTTTACGTAGGATTAAATTAAAATCTCTCTCCGCCCACAAACTCCACCTACACAGTCAGGAGTTGAGCAACCAGACTTGGCACACAGGTACATCTTAGATCCCTTTAAGGTTCTTATCTATAGAACCATATGTTATGACATCATCATTTTGCCTAGCAGCCACCTACCAATGAGTGATAATAACCCATATTTAACATCTATGCACTCATAATACCCATCATATAATTTGAATTTCACAACATTAATGGTTAATTTATATCAGCAAAACTCATGCATGGTATATTATAATGTGATCATGTTCCCTGGCAACCATTTAACAATGGGCAAGGATGCACCTTTGCACCTGTAAAACCTTAGAAAAGCATTGTATCATTTTAGTTTTGCAAGATTTTGTAGCACAGAGAACATGAATTATGCACATCTATTATTTCATCAAAATGTTGTAAAGCAACCACCTACCAGCAGCTAAAATGACTAATTTACACTGTTTACTCACCTGTATAATTTTAATTTCATGACAGTAACATCGCATTTATATCCACAAAACTTTAATTAAGCATGCTATATTATGATCATTGTGATTATGTCATGTTGACTAACAACAACCTGACCATTAAAATCAAAAACCAAACATTACTGTAGCAGGATATTTACAAGTTAATTAAATATATGCGTTCAGGCCACTGACAATTAGTTTTAGAGAACTGAAGCTAGTATTTAAGCAGTTGAAAAATGCATTATGTAGTTATAGTTTAACATTTCAATGTCAAACTTCATTTTGTAGTTTAAAATCAACTTTTTTTTTTTTTTTTTTTTTTTTTTTTTTTTTTTTTTTTTTTATTATTTTTAGTTTAATATTAGGGACATATAAAACTGTTGGACGCTGAGATACCACCAATGCCTGTACCATAAATGTGACAGAACAAAAATCAAAGTGAAATGACTGAAGAAAGATTGGAAACTAAAGACAGAACCAAAATAAATAACAAGTAGAGCAGAGTGGAGAGTAATGGAGAAAGATGAAATTGGAAAGAGTGGGGTGAGGGTGAAGCAGCAAAAAATACTGAAAGCGAGACAGCATTTGAGAAGTTGGAACAAAGGGAACAGATGTAAGTTCCCTCTACCTCCCCTCAACTATTTATCAGGAAAGGCATCCTCAGTATATTTGTGTATTTCTGTGTTTTATATAAGTAAAAACCCAAGAAATCATATAAGATTGAGGGGCAGTGTGACTGTGCATCATTATCCCTGTATCTCTTTCCCTAGCTATGTTATCCCATCATTTCCTGTGCTCTCTTCTCTAAATTCTCCAACCAATCTTGCCACATATGTGTTCTCCACTAACCACTCGAACACTTGTCATGATGATTGTAAGACTGAAGAGATGCCTCAAGCACTGCTCTTTATTACTGAGCTCAAGGTCTGAAAATCATCCTCATGCCACTGCTTGTCTCTTTTTTGAGCTCCTTCACTTATACGTATAGTATATACACATAGCATTTCTTTGTACTTTAACTTTGTTTAACATGACACACATGGCTTGAGTTCTCCTCGATTAACCTCGGCTTACACTGAATCTGGGATAAGTTGGAGCTCCCAGCTCAGTCTGCATGCAGGTGTATCTGTGTGGCAGTTTTTAAATGTGTAAAAAAGGCATATCATTTTTTAAATTATTGCAATTATTTTTAATCTTAACGTATAGCATTAAAAAGGAAACATGATTAATAGCAAGTGTGCCAGTAAACAAAAAATGTGTGTCAATTAGCCAACGTGTTCTTCCTACTGTGACATATAAAAATTTTCCTTTGAAAAAGGCAATTTGTGGCATGTAAAGCCAGAAATTGAGCTGGCAATATAATATCTAATTTAATTTGCCCTTTTACACATTCATCTATTATTAGCGCATCTGTTCTTTTAAATATTACTGTCAGGTTTGAATTTAATGTATCTGAATGTTTGTGTTTTGTGTTTGTTTAAATAATAATCTCTCTCTCTCTCTCTCTTTCTCTCTCTCTCTCTCTCTTCCTGTCTTTTAATTCCATCTTCCTCCTTTAGGGGCAGACATCATCAATTTTGATGGGCAGGGTGTGATCTCATATCGTTTTAAGGTACCCAAATTTCAACTTCAGTAGTCGAATATTTAAAATTGGATATTCAAAATTATTGGATTGGAATTGGATATTCAATTTTGAATAAACTGGAATATAAAAAGCAATATTGACTCGGTCATTGTAGAACATGGAGACTAGATCCTGTAATGAATTCTAGTAGAGGGTATTGGTTATATTGATCATTCCTTTGCTAGTCACACAAACTTATGGCAGTCCTTTAATAAACATTGGAAAACATATTTAACAGAGAGTTTCAGTATTTTGTTCGTCATTGTGTTTTATCAAGACTTGGGATCCTATACGTGTTTAAAACTATTGCCCTTAAATAGAAGTCTTGGAGTCTGGAGTCTTGTTAGTTGGTACACAGCATATACCTGCATATTATATAGGCTAGATCATAAAATAAAAACTTAGAATGAAAAAATTCAAATGTATCACGATAAACTGGCATTTTTTATGAGAGCTATATATAAATAAATGGATGTAGATTTTGAACACTGGGTAGTGAAAATTGTCTTGTTTTGTTACCAAGTATAAAAGTTTCTAAAGTGAAAAGTTGTTGTTGTTGTTTTTTTACATAATGTTTCATTTTAATCTAATCAGAAATTAGTTACCAGTGTTGCAAACAATCACACAAAGTCATTGGTGTTTGCTAACACAGGTGAAGAAGATGAAGCTCATTAAGGACGTGATCGCACTGAGGTTTAAGACGTCAGAAAGTGAGGGTGTGATTCTCCATGGGGAAGGCCAGCAGGGAGACTATATCACACTGGAACTCCGTAAAGCCAAGCTGCTGCTGCAGATAAACCTGGGTGGGTAACAAATAAATGCCACAGAGTTAGAAAAAGCAACTTTCTCTTGATGGTGATCCTTCTCCAACAGTGTTTAGGATTTAGGTCTTTACGGTATCAGCCTCAGACATGTCTTGCTTTACAGTGATGTTTAAACATGTGAGGATGTTTTGAAACCTCCATCAATGTGTGTCTAGCTGGGAAATAATGGAAATGAATTGGGATACAAAAAATAACACTTTGCTGTGCTTTGATGGGATCAATGGATATACTGATGGAGGTTTGTTGAAATTATATTAGTCAAGGGAAAAGTTAAGATTCTAATACACAATTTCCCCCTCTTCATGAAGGAAACAAAACATATGTCTGTGAATCATGATTCACTGTTAACCAGAAGTGTGTCTGACACACCAAGGATGTCTTACTGCAGGCATCCTTTAAAGTTAGAGTTTAAAATTAAATGAAATCAGTAAAAAAAAAGTTGTGTTTGCTTGTGTGTGACATATTTGTTTTATTTTTACAGCACCTGGTCACACCATTTGTTGTATTTACAAATTCAGCCGCCGTTCTCATGGCTGCATTTTAAGGCTTATGCTGTGTTTATTACAGGCAGTAATCAGTATGGCTCGATCCTGGGTCATACCTCTGTGACCACAGGGAGCCTCTTGGATGACAATCACTGGCACTCAGTAGTGATTGAACGCTACCGTCGCAATGTGAACTTCACCTTGGACAGACACACTCAGCACTTCAGGACTAATGGAGAGTTTGACCACCTCGATTTGGACTATGAAGTAAGTCGAGATGAAGCCAATAAACATAATAACACAAACAATAAGGAAATATGAGAAAGTTGAAAAGTTCAAGATTTTCTGCCACTGCCATGATAAATATGAATAACTATATGACATTTGAATTTGACTGATAGTGCTTTTGAGGTTGTGTCCAAGCAGCCATAAACTGCTCCCAAAGCTCCTTAGAAGTCCCAGTCAGATCACTTGAAGATGTGCATTTGTAATGCATGCTTTATCTCCTTCTGTCTGTCCATAGGGTTGGCTTGCAAACCTAATAGTTAAGAGAAAGAAAGAAAAAAACGCCAAATGATTCAACAGCATAACATTGATAGGTAGTCTTGGTATTGAAGCAACTTATGATGGTGACATAATGTCAGCCAAGACCAGCTGCCTATTATACGGATGACTGGCTACCAGGCAAAGATGAAACAGACGTGTTCTTAGTTCTTCAGCTATATGGTTGTTAATTGTAACCGTGCAACATCTGTTAGAGATCCTGCTCATCCAGCAAATAGTCACTGCACTGTGTAGGACCAAACTGTGCACTTGGTTTGGCTAATTATTTACAAAAAATTTTTTAAAGTTAAGTATTTAATTAAATAAGTTTAGCTCTATTTATTAATTAGGATCAAACTTTATGTGCTACAAAGTCAGAAGGTGTGCAAATGCAGTTCTTATGCCGTCCTGGAAATATCCAGGATATATCACATTGTACTGTACAATGTTGCGGACTTTGCCAAAATCCCCCAAAAGGTTAAGTCAAAATCTATCAGACTCAATAATTGTCCAGTTTGAATGCTGCCATTAGTGCAGTCTTAATGTTTGTAGGTAGACTATAAATACCAAGCTGAATCTCTACTTGTAAAATAATGTCTTATCTTTATTTTCCCATTCACGTCTAATACACCCAACTGACTTGAATTGACTGCATGAAGTACCTTGCAGTGTTTCATTCATTAACAGTTATGCCAGTGTGTATTTGGATTTTGGAGCTTAATGATTCTGGTTTAGGTGACATTTTGCAGAGAATGCCGCAATGTGAGCAGTTGTAAGCATGAGGTTGCATTTGTCTGTGTTTGCTTCCTTTCTTCACTTGCTGCCTTATGCCCTTGTGCTGTTTTCTAATTTGCAGCTGCATTTAAACTGCTCATCACAAGTGATCAGTACAGTAAAATAAAGCCACACAGGAAATTAGATATTGGTTTTACACTCAGCTATCATGCTACTCGATAAAATTGGCATAATGAACATCAGCTAATGAAATGCAACTCGCTCAGCTAATAATACCTATAACAGGAAACTGATTATGGGATACATGCAAGTAAGAAATTTGTTTGTAATGTGAGAGTGCACATGCACGTGTGCAATTTTGAATACACACAAGGTTTTCAGGATGTGTATGTCTGTGTGTTTGTGTTTTTATTGATGTGGTTGTGTGTAAGTGTTTGACCTTTGCTAGGTATTGCTGATATGCCTGATCTATTCCACTGTTAAGTAGGATGCTGAGAAATGGGGCAGGACAAACCACAGTCCAATTAAAACTGAAGCTGTTGAATTAAGGGATCTGGAGGGAAATCTATACAACAAGGGTGTACCAGGAGGCTTTGTGTGCATGTGTGTGGTGTGTCTGTGGTGAACCTTAAATAGATTCTACCAATGTCATTGCCTGACTAAGTCTATCTACAGTTTGTGACCAGCTTTTAGTCAAGTGTACTACTGTACTCAGTACATTTAGTCTGCACACTCTATTTTGTGTGCATCTTTGTTTGTGTGTATGTGCGTCCTCTGCTCCCATTTAGGGCTGTAGACTAAATATCCGGGTGCATTTGTGTCTACCCTTGGCAGTAATTACTAAGGCTATTGGAGCATCACCACAGATGCACACACAGCACAAGCAACAACACACATGCACACAAAAAGACAGACAGACACATCGACTGGTAATTGCACACTGCCCTCCATCATTTTGGCTTCCTTCAGGGCTCAGAGTTGTGTGTAAAATGGAAAAAAAAACGAACACATGTATAACTGTAGAACAAATATGAAACCCAGTTTACATTTTATCAGTCCTCTGTTCTTCAGTGCTTCCCATCAGGTGCCAGTTTATTAGCCCTCATCTTCACACCTGAATGCTCCTCTCAGCACATCTGTTCTCCCAAAAAGACCATGTTTCTCCTTTAATGCTTACTCCTACTTGTTGTATTTCATGCACAATATATATAATGTGCAGTGTTTCTTTACTCATAAAAAGTAATGTATTACACATTGCTCATTACTTTTCTTTAAAGTAATGCAGTACATTGCTTAATTTGTTACTTTCTCTCAGTTCCACAAATCCACAAATCATTACAAATCCCTATCCTAATTAGGCCAGACACACAATCTTTCTTTTAGTATTTAGAAATGCAAAGCCAACGACACAAAAATAAGATGAAAAAGAGCCTAAAAAGACTTCAAGGCCATGGTGATTGTACCTTAAGAACAGGTAGAAATGGAGGCCGCAAGCCTGACTGCTTATTACTGCTTTGGTTATATGTTGAAGTTCAGGGTCTGGCTGCTGGGCTGGTGTCAGTATTCACTCAGCTTTATAATCACTCTGGGGTTTTAGCTAGCTTAGTGTTAGCATGCTGTCTAGCAGACGTTTACAAAGAGCCAAAGTTCTGTTAGCAGCATAAAGCAATTGTTGTTGTCCTGGATACAGACTGCATCTCAGCTCATTGCATCCTTGTGTGCAATAAAAATAAAGTCCATATCTGCCCTCTACCATTTTTAGGGTTGCCAACTCCCTGAAAAATAAATAAGGGACACCTCGTGGCCAGGGCCGGGCAACCCAGTTCACCCTTCCCAGTGTGGTGAATTTTGTAGCTCTTTTTTTTGTGTGTGAAATTATTTTTTAACCATTTGACTTGAATTTGATTTAAGCAGATGCATATTAAATGCCCGTGGTTAACAAAAGGATTACACAAGGCCTGTAAGAAGAAAAATTCTTTATACAGACAATTCACTAAGTTAAGAACTGAAGAAGCAGAGTATAGATATAAAAAATATAAAAATAAACTAACGGAAATATTAAGAACTAGTAAGAAATTATACTATACTAATTTAATACATAAAAATAAAAACAACACTAAAGAGATATGGGGAATACTTAACACTATTATTAAAGGTAACACAAAAAAGTGCTCATATCCAGCTTATTTCACTAATAATAACAGTGACAATTACAATCTAAACGAGATGGTGGAGTGCTTTAACAGCTTTTTTGTAAATGTGGGACCGGAGTTGGCTACAACAATTCCAAAAAGTAATCACAGCGAAATGTCACTGATAGAAATAAATTCAAAGACTATGTTCTTGTCGGGAGTTACTGAATTAGATATTTTAGATGTAGTTAACAACTGTAAGAACAAGACCTCTACTGATTGTTTTGGTATAGATATGACATTAGTTAAACGAATCATACATAGCATTGCCAGACCTCTAGCTTATATATGTAATTTATCATTTCAAACGGGGAAATGCCCAAAGAAAATGAAAATAGCTAAAGTTATACCCATATATAAAAGTGGAAACAAACACATCTTCACTAACTATCGACCAGTGTCCCTGCTCCCACAGTTTTCTAAAATATTAGAAAAACTTTATAATAATAGACTAGGTAAATTTATTGACAAACATAAACTAATCAATGAAAGTCAGTACGGATTTAGGACAGGAAGGTCAACTTCAATGGCTATCATTGATGCAATAGAAGAGATAACCAACAGTCTGGATAGAAAAAGACATGCAGCAGGGATATTTATTGACTTGAAGAAAGCATTTGATACGATTAATCATAGCAGATTATTTAAAAAATTAGACAGATATGGTTTTAGGGGAGTGGCCTTGAAATGGATCCAAAGTTATTTGACTGAGAGACAGCAGTATGTGAAGATGGGCGAATTTGAATCGGGGTATTTGGGCATTAGCTGTGGAGTGCCACAAGGATCAGTTCTGGGACCAACTCTATTTAATCTTTATATAAACGACATATTTAATGTATCAAAGTTATTAAAATTAGTTATATTTGCTGAAGACACCAATATTTTTTATTCTAACGACGACCATAGTGACCTAGTACTTAACATTAACAATGAGTTAAGGAAATTAAAAATATGGATGGATGTTAACAAATTATCTATAAATTTGAGCAAAACCAAGGTAATGTTCTTTGGGAATTACAATGTAAATGAAGATACTGTGATAAAAATAGATGGTGTAGTCATAGATGTAGTATCAGAAATAAAATTCTTGGGAGTAATGATTGATAGCAAATTATGCTGGAAATCACACATCAGACATATACAAAATAAAGTGTCCAAAAGTATCTCAATCATAAATAGAGCCAAGTTCTTCTTAAACTGCCATGCAATGTTTTTGTTATACTGTGTACTAGCCCTACCATACTTGACTTATTGTGTAGAGGTGTGGGGCAATAATTACAAAAGTTCTCTGCATCACCTGGCTATACTACAAAAATGTGCTATAAGAATAATGTATAAGGTAGGATATTATAGTCACACTAATATTTTGTTTTTGCAGTCAAAACTATTAAAATTGATTGATCTAGTTGAATTCTCAACTGCTCAACTCCTATATAAGGCAAATAAGGGTATACTGCCAGAAAATATCCAAAAGCTCTTTACACATAAAGAAGGAGGTTACAATTTGAGGGGATGTAGTAACTTTAAAAGGCAGATAGTTAGAACTACCAGGAAAGGTTTGTGTGTGTCTGTGTGTGGAGTGAAACTTTGGAACAGAATGGATGTAGAGCTCAAGCAATGTCCAAATATTCATCTGTTTAAATCGAGGTACAAAAAATGTATATTGTCAAGGTACAATAAGGAATCGAGTGTGTGATTGTTTATCCATGATAGTAAATAATAATATATTCTTTGTATTATTTCTTTCTTTTTCTTTGTTTATATATAGAATGTTAACAACAAATACTTATATAAACAATTATTTTGTAGAGTTGAAATGGACACTGTTGATATTGTCTTACGCTGTTGTTATTACTGTTATCTCCATTATTAGGAAACAGTAGACCAGAATTAATTCTTAAAAGTAAAATTGATGAAGTTACAACTATACAATGGAAGCAAACTTCATTGATATTTTCATAGCTAAAATATAAATAATATACGGAGAGGATGTAATGACCATGATGGTGATGACTGTGATATTCAGCGGTGGTAACAAAGACTGTATTATTGATGCTAAATATTTACACTACTGTATGTTGTAATTATGACAATGCGATAATTTTATAACCGTAATTGTATGTCACAAATATTTAAATGTACTGCGCAACTACAAAATTTAAAACTCAGATAAGATTGTAGGGGTGGGAGTTAAAAAGCTTGTCTTCATCCCACTCCTTTTCGAGCTAAACTTGTTTTTCTTTTTTTGTGTAATTGTACATTACAATAACTTTATTATTTGGTTGCTCGAATAAAAGACATTCATTCATTCATTCATATTCTTTGTGATATGACCATATGGGAAACAAATGATCATTTAGCCATTTATTTTTAGCTCAAAATGACAACATTAACACAGTAAAACAGGTCTCTTTCTTAAACAGAAGCCTGTCATGCTTAACTTTTGAGAATATAAGTGAACTTTCTTTAAAAGAACTCTGTCCTGCTTAACTTAAAATTATATAAATTAATAGAAAACAATAGAACGAAAAATATTCTTGTGACTGTGCACATATAGTGCATTTAGTACAGTTGGCTTCAGTTGAGGTATTATTTCAGCTTTTCTAATGCTAATCAGCTGCTCCTGTTTGTAAACCCGCTTGTTCCCATGATTACGCATCATTACTCATCAATGTATTACTTTTATGTATTAGTCATCTATTTGTTGTAATCATCTATCCTTGTAGTTGTTTATTACACAAAATAAATTATATTATTACACTTCTGGCCACATAGCGCTGATGTTCACCGCACATGCCCATATTAACCTTAACCAAAGTGCGCCGGCACACAGTGCAGTGCGCTTTAAAGGTGTTATCGTGCATTTTCCCAGCCAGGTGTTTTCCTTTTCCCATTCCTCCCTGTACTTTTGCAGCCTTGTTTTTTTTTCTTTCTCTGAGCGAACAAACATTGCTGCTCTAATGCTGGGCTTACACTGTGCTATTTTTGGCCCATTTTGAGACGATTTTTGAGTCATGCGACCGATTTGGTGATCGGCCCGATTTTGGCCTTCATCGTGCATCGTGTAGTATACGTGGGGTAACGAGAAGCGATTAACACCTCACGACCAGCTCCCGATCATCAATCGCTCGTGAGGGTGTCAACGCAGCCGCTCACACTGCTCACGCGCAAACACGTAAACGTCGGTGAAAAAGACGGAGCAGCACGGCTGTGCAGCGTGTGATCTGGACACAAGTGATGGAGGCACTTGTAGAACTTTGGAAAGCTCATCCGAGCCTTTTCGATGTGGCATCACAAAATGATCACGACCACAACAACCGTGAAAATAGTTGGATCTACACTGCTGCTCATTCACAGCTGCCTGATCAATGTTTTTCATTAGCAATTTAGCAAAGTTGATGGTGGTGGCATGTCTGTGTGAGTGAAAGACAGAGAGAGAGAGAGCGAGCGACAGAATTTCTGTTATAACCTTCATTTTATGGAGGCACAGTGTGAGCACTCAGGTCGCATCGGAGCATCGGGTCGTATAGTGTGAGACCCTGCATCGTGACTTATGAACTTCTAACCCCTGCGAGTCAACCGTACAGTTTGAGCAGGTGCTGAATAACGTGACTGAAAAAATCGCACAGTGTCTGCCCAGCTTTAGGTGTACTGTCGTCCGAGACTTGCACCGCAGTGTCGGCGTTTGTTTCCCTGTTGGCCATGCTTGTTGTTGTGGTCATCTGTTGTCTTCCGGTATTTTCTCCGTAAGCGACCTTTCCTCGACCAATAAGTGTGCTGTCAGCTCATTGGTCACAAAGCAGAAGAGGGGCTGGGAATTATGTTTTCAAACAAAGCGTTAATTCCATAAACATTTATAGACTACTTTTGATTCTCACTGTATTACGGGACAAAGTGCGTCCCTTATTAGCTCAATACGGGACGTGTACTTTTGTTTCTAAACACGGGACGATTCCGTTTTTTAAGGGACGGTTGGCAACCCTAACCATTTTCCTCCTCCCGCACAAAGACAAAATTAGCTGATTGTAGCGGAAGTGCGGAGGAAGAAAACCTTTTCTTTCATATTAGTGAGTCTTGTTTTTCTGTTTGCCTAATATAGATAACTAAAGAACCTTCATAACACAAGTAACAACATTACTCTTCTTATATTGCGCTTTCCTATTCTATAAGAGCACCCTACACACCTGGTGTTTAAAAGAGGACCTGCAATATTTACACAACATAGTGTCACCAAATTTTCAAAAGTCATATTAGATAGAGAAGCTATGAGTCTCTCAAACAATGATTGTATCTTTATTTTTATTTTTTTTTGTCATTGTAAAAAAGTTATTTATCTATTAATGGTACCATGAATGGAAAAACTAAATATTTTTATACACTCTTTTTTTTCCCTATTCAGGCTCTCTACTAAAATAATGGCTCCTACATTCAAGTGCTTCCACTTTAATTTGAGCTTTATAGTAGGTCAATAATAAGTCAATAAGTCAATAATAATGGTGGGCATGTGGTGGGGGAAGCTGAACGGCCAGATTAATTGGACACATACTATACAGATGAAGTCACAGTAATTATTTTATGTCTGTGTGAATATTGAGTGAAAAATGTGTTACAGTAAATGACTGCCAAAGTCGTTTACCCACAGGCATCATTGGACATATTGTATCATCCCTTGTGATGCTCTCTCTATACTGAAGTCACCTTTGTTTTTGTTTGTTTATTTATCTTTTTTGCCTGTGGGGTCTCTTTGTATTTTGTCTGACTTTCAGCAAGCGGACTGCTGCTTCATCAGATTGAGATCTTGGGATGTTTCCAGGATTTTCTAAATGGGGTGAGACAGGAGGGACTGACAATAAAACAGAGGAGCCCACAGGAAATCACAATATTTAATCAGAAATAAAATTAGTGTAGAAAATTCACACTTAAAAAAATTAGGCATGATTTTAAGGCTCGTGTGCTGCCCCGTGTTCAACCACGCATTTATTATATGAAATGTGGAGCTGCACAAGTTTTAGACATAATTTTTGGTTGAATAATTGTTTTTCAAATTAGGAAAAAAATATTTAGATTGCCTGCTTAAGTAACAATTATTGTATGAGTGCACAAGTTGTATAGTCAAGAGGTGTGCCATCTCATAGCTCCATTCTAGAAACATCCCAGCACTCAAAATGGGAGTTTTTACACCGTGCAGATGATTTTCCGATCTGCTTGTTTGCCTTTTTCTGTTATTTCCTTAAGACAAAAAACACCCTGAAAATCAACTACCTTTGATATCTTTCTGATAAACATTTACTATCACCATTTTTCCACTTCTGTGGTCACTTGATTATATACTGAGTCAATCTAAAGGTCAAAGCTCAACTCTTAATTAACTCTGAGCCATGTGTGAGCTCTTCTGTGCATGAACTAACACTGAAATGACAACCGACTGCCTTAGAAACTTTTAGTAACCAAGTGTCAAGCCAATTACTTTTGAGCCCCAGCAATTTAAAGGACCGTATCTAACAGTCTAAGTTTTTGCAATATTGATGTAACCTCAAAGTGCAGTTATGGCTTGGCACTTTAACGTAGTATTCATTATTTTCCTTCAAATCAAATATGCTTAGTCACAAAGCATGACGAACAAAAAGCATGTAACTGCCCAAATATAGTACTGGAATTTATACTGTCTTCTATATCTATCAGTGACTATCCTGACATTTTACGAACTAAACTGACTGATTTTTACAACATGAAAGTGTGTGTGAATGCTTTATGCCCCGCAGGTAAAACTGTTTGATTTAAACAAATTACTAGCACCAACCTAACCCATAAAATGTACATATTGAACATCAGATAATGAAATGCAAAGAGTTCAGGCAATAATACCTAAAACAGGAAATTGATTGTCCAATCCATCGAGGTAAGAAATTTGTTTGCAATGGGAATGTGCACACTTGTAAATCCATAAAAAGCAACCGGGAGGAGAAGCCTGAAAAGCTTATTAAAGAAAAATTAAAGGAATTCTTGCCATGCGTTTTTTTCTCACTCTCTATCTCTTTTTAACTCTTTGCACTATGTCTCTCTGTAGTTGAGTTTTGGCGGGATGCCTTACAGTGGAAAGCCAGTGGGAATAGGAAGGAAAAACTTTAAAGGCTGCATGGAGAGCATCAACTACAATGGAGACAACATTACAGACCTGGCCCGCCGAAAGAAGCTCGACACCTCCAGCTTTGTAAGGAAAATGTGCAAAATATATGTCTAAACGTTTTGGAATAGCGCTTATAAAGGCAGCTGCCTGTTGAACATGCTCATTATTGTCACACTAACTCCATACTTGACCCGACTGTGGGGGCAGATTATTCAATGAACCAAAATGCTTGAACAGATTCATAATTAATCAGATACTACTGACCTGTCAGTGGCCCCTCCATGTGTGTCCTTGCTGTCTTTGCAAGTGTTGTTATCATGACTGCAATTTTACCATAACTTACAGTGGAAAGACAGGTTTTCACTGCATTGACTATTCAACAGTTTATTTTCAACATATCTCGATGGCACAAGATGCAGATTAAAGGCCTTGTTTCTTTTCATGAAATGCACCCTACTTTTTCAGACTGCAGGATGCACCTTCAGCACATTAACTGCCCTGCAGTCCTAAAAATTAGCTTCTGAAAAATCTGAGCCCTTTCTCAGGGGACGGCCAGTGTATCTGCTTTGATCCCTGTTGGACTGATTGAACAAATGGTGGGACTAATCAAGTTCATTCAAACCACACCTGTAATTCTCTCTGATGACTTCACACAGCCATTTATTTCTAATCAAAACAGATCTGCTCTTAGATTTTACACACACACACACACACACACACACACACACACACACACACACACACACACACACACACACAATCAGGAATCATCTATAGTTGGAAAGGCAGCTCAATGCTGTGTGCTTGCTAATGACTAGATTAAGAGCACAAGGTTGGAGAAATTCAATGATAATTAGTGCCTAAATACCACAATAGTGTTTGTTTTTCTGCAGCACATAAAATTCACCCAGGTTACTGTTTAACCCTGTTTCTCAGCACAGCAGTGCATTAGTTACTACTATTGCTCACAGCAGGGAGGATCTCCTGGTCAGCTGGATTCTAGTTTATATGTTCTGCTTTTTCCTGATAGATGGGTTTTCTTCAAGTGTTCCCACTTCTCCCAATAATTCAGAGACTTGCATATTAACTTAATTGGTGAATCTAAATTATACATAGTTGCTGATGTTAAATAAAGGTCGATAAAATTTTAGATAAAGTGATTAATAAGATGAAAATAGTTACATTTCAAAGACAGGTAGAGCTAGAAGAAAAAGATGAGTGTGTTCAAGCTTCATCAGTCTTTCAATCTCGCTTCAGTCACTAACATGTGAAAGTAATCACGCAGAAGTGAGATTAAAAGCAACAAAAGGGTGGTGAAGTACAAGATTTCCTTAAGTGTTTGAGGCATTTATTTCACAGGCAAGCCCCCTTAAAGGCATTAGCTCTGTTTTTGACTTCTCTGTTTAAAAACTAATTAATCTCCCGTTGTCCATCTTTGTTCTTTCTTTTTTCTAATTCTGTATGCTAACAGCGAAACCTGTCCTTCACCTGTGCGGAGACCCACACCTTCCCAGTCTTTTTCAACGCCACCAGTTTCCTGCAGTTGCCTGGTCGAGCCAATCATAACACGGTATCCGTGGGCTTCCAGTTTCGTACGTGGAACCCTCATGGCCTCCTCCTATTCAGCAATCTTGATGATGGCACTCTGGAGATCTCGCTTGAGGACGGCAAGGTTGCAGTTCACATCAATGTGACGAAAGCGGCCAAAAGCTACCGAGTAGATTTATCATCAGGTGGGTTTGCCTACATAAAAACATATCACATGTACGCTTACATTATATTTGCTATTGAACTATATGGAAAAACATTCATGTAGGAAACTCCTTCTAGGAAAAAGACTTGCCACTCAACGGCCGCATTGGTTATGCTTCTTGGGCAGTGTTTTTTTCTTTCAATGGACAGTAAATGAAAACTCTATAGAACCAATAATCAAGCCTGATTGCAACAAAATAAGTTTTAATAAGGTTTAAAGGTTTTTTTTTCTCTACAGCATACTAAAACAAAAATGTAATATGATGAGTAGATATACCTACCAACTCACAGCTGAGGTGGCTCATGTGTTTCCCACATCAGCTGTTGTTTTGCTCTTTGGGGACAGGAGCATGTGAGCGGTGTGCTATGAAGATAAAACTGAAGCAAAAATTGATTCTTGAAATTTAATGTGCACGCTGCATGATTAATTGAATTCTGAACAGAAGTGAATCTGACTTTTTGTTCCATATTGGGAGCATTCAAACCAGCCCTAACATGAAGACAGTCCATGACAGACAGGTGTTTCGTAATTCCATTTCAGTATTTGATCTCTTGTTTTTTTGACAATTGCTTTGTGTGGTTTTAAACCCAACACTAACAGGCGAACCGGTGAGGACAGCAGTGGAACTGTTGTCTTTGTATTTTCTGTCATATAATCTACCAAAAGCACATGTTTGATTCAGTGAGATGTAAGTGCAGCTAATCCTCATTAGCCAAAAAGTTCAGGCTTTTTCTTGCTCTAAGCACTCTGTTTTGAACTGCTTATTACTATTGTTCTTGGCTCTGTGTGATATCGGTTGACTTGGGACATGGGAGGTTACTAAAATGGCTTAGTTTGAGACAGGGGATGAACTAGGGGGGGGGGGGGGGGGGGGTGGTCGCATCAAGTTCCACTACAAGGTAATTAAGCGTGAGTTTGAAATGCTAATTTTCAAAGCCGCTCTTGTCGATTCCAAGAATAAAAATAATGAGCTGAAAATAAGCAAACTTGGTGCCCATTAAACTGATGCACATAAAGCTGGAAGTTATTATTAAGGTAGAAACAAAATAAGGTTCGAAATAATTTTAGCCATGATGCTATCATCTGTGGCTCTTTTTATTCCATTTATTTCATTCCCTTCCTACAACCTTTCTTGCCCCTCACCCCTTCCTCCCATACTCTTATTTCTTCCTTCCCCTTCTTTCTTTCTCCCTCTCTATCTGTAGACACACTCATTTATTCTGTCCACTGCTGCTTTAGTAGGCCATTATGCCCAGGGGTAGGGATTATTACAGAGTTACCCTCTAGGCTAATTGGGATTGAGCCTGCGATTACATCAGTATTACCAGAGTACATAGACACACAAACACATACCCGCACACGCAAACACATGCTCCCTCCTTTGATTCTGTTATTAGTATCTCTGAAAAAGAAAGCCAAACTGGCTTCTAGCTTCAATGACACAGTGGGAGCTCAGTAGACTTATGATGAAATGCTTAGTCCCTCTTAATGGCAAATATACTGGGGAGAGACGTGCAGATATGCACACATCGAGGAGCGAAACGAGAGTGAGAGAAAAGAGAGGCTTCTCACAGACACAACGCCATCCAGTTTTCCCACTGGGGATAATTTGTTTATGGAGCGTTTAAGTGACAGCTTATTCAGACATATACCTATTTCCAAACAGATAAGATAAATAAAGTATTTCTCATTTTCTCTGTTAGCTTGAAGGAAAAACACACAAGCACACAAATTCTTTCATTTGGAGCTTTTAACCCGAGTAACCTTTTAGCCATCTAAGACTGCAAATTCACCAATGATGGTTAATCACAGAAAGTGTTTTTTACTAAATCTCTGGTTTAGGCCAAATAATATGCCATTACATGAGTCAGAATAAGGCATGTGATTAATTCCTGTAAACAGAATTGAATCACATACTGTAAACTTTGAAATGTACAAAGCTGATTTCAACACGTCTGTTTATGGACACAAATATCTAATCAGCCAGTCGGATGGCAACAATTCAGCGCATTTAGGCACGTAGACATGGTGAAGTTCAAATTGATTATCACAATAGGGAAGAAGGGTAAACTATGTGTCTTTAAATGTGGCATTGTTGTTTGTGCCAGATGGGCTGCTCAGAATATTTCAGAAACTGCTGATCCACTGGGATTTTCCAACATTACCATCTCTAGGGTTGAAAGAGACTGGTCTGAAAAAGAGAAAATATCCAGTGAGTTCTCTGGGCAAAAATGCTTTGTTGATGACAGCGGTCAGAGGAGAATGGACAGATTGCTTCAACTGATAGGAAGGCAGCAGAAACTAATCACTCGTTATAACGTATAAGGTATGCATGAGAGCATCTCGAACCTTGAAGCACATGGGCTAAAGCAACAGAAGACCAGATCAGGGACTAATACTGGAAGCTAAAAACAAAAAACTGAGTTCATGTGAGCTGGACAGTAATGCTGGCTGTTCTGATGAGTCCTGATTTCTGCTGCAGCATTTGGGGGGCAAGGTCAAAATTAGGTGTGAACAACATGAAATCTTGAATCCCTTGTGCCATGTATTAAGACTTCAGGCTGCTGGTCATGTAATTGTGCAGTGGATATTTTCTTGGCACTCTTGCACTATGTCATGAAGCTCAAGTTATCTTAAACAGCTTTCATAGAGATGAAATTTAAGTCACTGTACTCAAATGACCTCCACAGTCACTAGATCTGCACCTTTGGGATGTGGTGGAACAAGAAATTCACATCCATAGATGAGCAGCAGACAAATTCACAGCAACTACTGCATGTGATGCTTAAAAGTATATGGCGTTCCAAGCATTTCCTTTTTTGCCCCCAGAAACATATTCTTTAAAGCTCCATTAAGCAGTTTGTTTCGTCAAATGAAATGAAATGCTGTAAAGATAGTGTTATTGAAAGCTAGAATTAGAGGAAGGTCTGTAATGAGCCAGTTAGACTGAGACTTTTTCTTCCCCCCCCCCCCCCCCCCCCCTCAGGAGCCATTGGATCAGACCGCAGCAAGAATGCAAACCAATGTTAGACATTTACATAACGATAAATATTATGATTCTCAATAGAAGGCCCATGCCAGTCTGTTTTTACTCTAAATGTGTCATTAATGACAGACAGTTGTTCCACATGTTCATATATATAATACTTTATCTAGGAGAACACGTTTGGGCTCACTGAGGTTGTGATTGAGGCCACTTTTCTTTTTTTGCCTAATGTACTTTTAAGTGCAACCTGGTAATTAAACGCATTTTTCTGAAAACTAAACGGGCAGGTGGAACACAAGAAATAGGGAGAGCAGATGATGCAAAGAAGGCTTGAATAAAATCATCATATATCTTCATAACCTCTTTCTTGCCACTGTGGGTCTGAGGTCATTAAAGTCTCCACCCCCACACGCCAAATCCACCAGACCATAGATCTTCCCCACTATGAACACACACATCGACTAAACACACACATCCACTAACAGAAGTATGCTTATTCAAGATGTGTGTGTGTGTGTGTGTGTAGCTGTTTTGTGTGTGTGTGTGATAGCAACAACTTGCAGTAAAAGTGTTTGTGACCACTGAAAAGATGCTCTTCTGTTCTCTGACAAAACGTCTGTCATTTCATCCATTTATCTCTCAGTCAGGCAGATAAAGAGTAAAACAAAAGGGCACACGAAGCTTTTGGGAGAACACTCCAGGTGAGACTGTGGGAATCCTTTGAATAATGTTTTTGTGAGCGTGTTTATATCTAGTCGATTCTCTTATTTTCCCATGACTTTCCCACACACTCATTAACTCTGTTGTTGTTTCTTTTACTCTCATCACTCATTTATTGGAACAAAATAACAGTTTTGTTAGAGTGTAGCTGCAAATTGTTGTGTTAATGACCATGCAGCAGGACCAAAGCATGTTTGGTATATCCAAACTAAAATTAAAGTTCTATTTTCTCATTTACCAACCATGAAAATTTCCAATAAACCAAAGCCAATGAAAGAGGATCTCTTTGTACCTGTAGCTGGTAGGTGGCAGGTATTTGAGTATATGTGTTGAAGACGCTTTCCTCTGATCACCTCTTGATTAAATATTGAATTATTAGGCACCAGCATTGTTTCCATGGAAACAATACTCACTGTCTCCACTGCTTTTGCACGGACCAAGAAATCTAATTTCCTATGAGATTCCTGTGATACATAGTGAGGAAATATATTTTATACTCCTGTTTAGCTGTCAAAGAAGAAAAAACATTAAAATAGTGGTAATTAATCTTATTGAAATAAACATCCCACTACATGGTGAAGAAAATATGACTCTATTTATAGACTATAGCACTCTGCATTGTAGACCTCCATATTTTACTTTAGACTGAGACAAGTAACAAGAGGCATGAATGCATGTGGGAAGGCCAAAAAATGTTATTTATAATAAGAATTATCAGTAGATTTGTACATTTCCAAAATAGTTAATAGCCTACAAATCATCAGTAATGTTATCATATATGTTTTAAAAGCTACTTTCAGCTGCTCACTTATATACAAGCGGTTGCCACATCTCCGTATGTTTGATTTGTGACTTGCACCAGGGATCTTTGTTAGACAATTGTGTACACCACTATACATTTGCCTAACAAATGTAGCTCAGGACGTAGATCACCTATTAATCACAAGGTTAATGGTTCCATCCCTGGCTCCTCCAACCTGCATGACAAAGTGGCTTTAACTAAGATACCTTGCACTACATTTACCCCGATCCATTGAAGTCTTGGCATGTAAACATTAGGTTAAAAAGTGCTTAAGCATTGAAAAAGAAAGAAAAAGCATTTCTATAAATGTGCGTGTGTGAATTGAATAATCAAGGCTTGTATTGAGTGAGTTCTTAAAGTAATTAGAAGTGCTATATAAGTACCAGTCCATTTATCCCTACACTTTGGAGGTACATTTTGTGGCTGAAAACCTACCAGTTAGTGAAAATGAAAAATTCTGAATGATTATTTA